ATGCGTAGGTGATCAAGAGTAGTTTGTAAGAGCTTAGAAGATAGCTTGAAGTGTGTTGTTTTCTTTCTGTTTATTTTATAAGTTCATGCTCTGATATGTAACATCGGGGTTGGAAACATTTGATTTTGAACTTTATGTTCTTTTTTTTATTATGAGACTTTGAACCACCTTTCATGGTATTTAAGTTGTTTTGAATTATGAACCATGAACAACGAAGACTCTATGATGTGTTTAATAAAGACGTTGTGAACTATGAGTTCTGCTGCGAGTAGTTGAAGTATCATGGTTGTTATTTAATGAGGTATTTATTATAGATTTTGAAACCCCGTGTTACAGAGTAAGACATGCATGTATGATGTTTTATGAAGCATGTGACGCCATTTTGGTGAAATACTCTGATTATTTATTTATATTATTCGTGAGTGATGTACCTCAAAATGTGCCCTCTCATTTCTCAAAGGATCATCCTGAACTCTCAGGCTTGCTTCTATCAAGTTTCAAGTCTTGAATTACAACTTTTCAAGAAAATCATCCACAAGGGCAAAATAGTCAAAAGCACACTGAAAAGTCAAACTTTGACTTTTTAGATCAAATCAAGTTTCAACAATTATATTTCATCAAGACATGAAATTGGTTCATCGAAAAATCAGAAGTCGAAAATTACTTTGAAAAAAATCAAATTTCTAAACATTTAGAAAATTTTCTAAGTGTTAAGAGAATATGATACTTCAGAACTTCTGGGCCAGCCTTCACGCGAGTGCAATCAGAATTTGCAGACACGGTTCAAAACATGATGCTTCAATCAGAACATATTGAAGCAATGTTCTTCGGTCAGAACATGACCCTTCAGTATATGGAGGTTACGTTTCTGATCTTCTGCGATCAGAACATCACCAAATCCCAAAACCTCGTTTAAGCAGCCTGCTTCCCTGCTATATCACAGCCCTGCAATCAGCTGCTGATCCAGTCCACGCCTGCACTTTCTCAAACCCCATATTTGCATCAAATTAGCATATAAAAACTGTGATTAAAAGATGAGCAAGTACCTAAGAGCCCGTGGAAAACCACGGATAGAAGGGGTGCTAACACCTTCCCTTTCTATAATCTACCCGTACTCAGAAATGTCTCGAAAAAAGATTTTTTTTCTGTACTTTTTTCCTTTCCGGTTGGATGAAATAAAAGTCGGTGGCGACTCTTGCTTACCGCGACATTTTACAAACATAAAACACAAAATGCAAAACGCAAATCAGCATTCCAAACAGTCGGTTCTGCCACCGTGTCACACGTCGCATCTACCACCGAGATAAAACGCATTCCGCGTCCGATGTTAGAAACATTATTTGTAGTAATGTGTTAACCTCTGGTATGATGGTCCTTCGTCTTAGATAGGAACTAGGATCTCTCTCACCTCATCATGTAGTGTTGCTACCAAACAACGATGTGACACTACATAATACCAAGCCAAGTAATCATCGACTACATCATATGGTCAGGTGGCAAAAACTGTCGAACGAATCACATCTAAAACTCCCTGAACATATCCAGCCTAACCAACATCCACATCAAGTGAGTCAACATCAGGAGGTGGGAGAGGTATGTACTGTCTATATCCAAACTGACACAAACATCTATCAGATAAATATAGCACAATTGTCTCATACCATTTTAGACCATCCTTGTACAAACATATATCATCAAATGGACGGGCATGTCTATAATCATCAAAAGGCCGTCAAATGATATCATTAAGTGTCAATGCATCTAACACATGCCTAAACTCATCAACCTTTTATGTTCCTTGCTAGTAACTCAATTTCATCGCCCTCAGAAGTTGACTACCTATACCACACATCCCATACACACTTCTCTTCCCAGCATTGGAAAAAATACTCATGAATCCAACATTATTACACACCATGAATATTATCAATTAAAATAATTATAAATAAATAAATATAAATGAAATTAAAATTAAAATAAAACATTTTGTACCTATAGAAGAGAGGCATATCCGCCAAGTTAATTGCATGTATAAAAGGAAGCATCACCTAAATATTGGTAAAGTGTGACAAGTGACACTACTCCTCAATAATATCTATCACATCCTTTCAAGTTCCTAAAAAATGGTAAATATTTTGCCTCTACAAGAGTAAAGGTCTTGTCGGCAAGAATGGTGCAACCTAACAACACCATCATATAGGCTCTAGTAGTACAGTCAAATCTACTAGCAGCTCAGTGATGCACAAATATCGTCTTCAACCAATCCATCCTATAATAAGGACCTATACAAAAACGGATCTCCTCAGTTGCCTCGTACTATCAGTGAAGCCTTCTTGAGGGTCAACCAATTCATCCCTAATCGATATGTGAAGAAGACATGGAACATCGTCCAAATTAATGGCCATCTCGCCAAATGGCATATGAAATGACGATGTTTCCGGATACCACCTCTCTACAAAGGCCAATTCCATATTTTGGTCTATCCTTAACAAACTGGTTCTCTGGAGAGAGGATAGACCAGAGTCAGTCAACCAAGTCTGTATCACAGGTGGGAGCATGTGTGGAACTCATCCTATCAATTTGATGCCATGTGCAACAACCTTTAACTCTTTCTTCAGTTGTCTCTCCTGAAAACAGTTTATAGTATAGATGTTATAAAATATATAAATACTTACAAATAAAATTATTCAAGATAACATGATAGAGATTAACTTACCTCGCTGAACCATAAATGGCGAACAACGTGACCCTGATACTTCACCAGAAGAGACGTATCAGTCGGTCCTCCAAGAAACACTGGCTGCAGTGGACCCGTCTCAGGCTGCTGATGTCTCTCTCCGTTGTCCACCGTCCGTCGACGTTGTCGTCCTTCAACGTTTCTCCGCATACTATTATCGCTCGAGCCTCCTCTTTTGCGAACCACTGAAAATAAATAAAAAAATTAAATAAAAAATTAGAATCAGATAACGCATTAACATGTTATCCAAAATAAGGGAGCAAGAACCAGATAACAAGGCTAGACATTATCCGATTGAAAATTATGAAAATTGGAGAACCCACGCTTGTGTTATCCGGGTTGTCTTATTTTTGTGTGTAAATCAGAGTACTTACTGATGGGTTATTCAGAGTGTTATGATGTAAATCGGATTTGAGACACTCACGTCCTCCAGTTTGTGTTTTCAAGGGGTTTCGAAAAGCGTGTTGTTGTGTTTTCTGAATGTTGCTCTCCCAATCTTTTAAAGTGAAATGAGAAAAAAGTAAAAACTTTTTAATGTATAATTATTTATACAAAGGTATTTTCATCCAAAAAAATTATTTGTAGAGGTAGAAGAATAACTGCAAGAATATAAGGTAAAATTTTCTTAAGGATATAAGATAAAAAAAAATTATGATAAAAATTGATCCATATAACAGACTTCACATAATAGAATAAGACTTTATTGTTGTTTAAATTTGTAATTAAAGTACTGATACCCAAGTTGCCTAACAAGTTGCCCTATTAATACTGATACTCAATCAATATCATTAAATATATTTTCTAGTTCAATATCATTGAATATATTTGTCTCTATATAACCAAACTTTAGAGTTTGAAAATTTGTATTCACTTCTTAATCTATTTATAATTTTACAACAACTAAAATATCAATCTATTATAAAAATAGAATTTAAAATAAGAAGTATTTTTATGATGTGCAATGTTATTGAATATTAAATCTATAACTATATATATAAAGAGGATACAAGCTTTTGGGCTGACCTTATTTTGTTCCATAATTATCCTCAATTTCTTCTATTTTGTTCTATAATTACCCTCAATTTTAATTAATAAGTAAATAACTTTTAATGGAAATAGTAACTACCTGTAACTTCTATTTTACTATTTGCAAAATAAAAACTCCTCTCTCACTTATTCATATCACGGTCACCACATAAATGGAATACAAATAACTTCCCTCATCTAAAACACATACTCAACAAGCCTTTAAAATGAAATAGATGAGTAAGAATGAAGAAAATATGTTATCAAAGAACAAATACCACTACCACTTCTATGTCCTCTCTAATTTCTTTTCTGTTTTTATCTCTTTCTCAATCATGTTTACCTTTTCTTTTTTCTATTTTTCATTCTATAATTATTTATTTATTTAGGCTATTGAATTTTAATTTTGATCAATATCGTTACATTTTTATTAAACTTTTAATGAATTGTTTACAATTTTTGTTTTTAATGTTTGATAATAGGTGACTTACATTCTTCTAATTTTTTTTTTCTAATATTTTTTCTTTGCACCACTGTCTGATTTCAAATTACATTCTATTGTTTTTGTGTTGTTATGGGTGTTAGTTTTTCTTTACTCCAATGCCTGATTCAAAATTACATTATATTATTTTTGACATGTGTTTGGAAATCATTCCCGGCAAAACAATTAACACCAGAAACTCGGTATTCCTTGAATATCATACTTTGCAAAGACTCGTTTGCCACTCGAATTCAAACACTTGGCTAATCATTTTTAATTTTAAAAAATATATATCACTTTGATTTTAGTTCTACTAATTGTATCTAACTAATATTATTTGCAATGTGACGCAAAGTAAAACCCCATAAAAATCTAAATATATAGTATGTTTATTTTTTTCTGCTTTGCACATTAAGAAAAACAGACAAACGGAAACGGGAGTGTTTGTTTGAACGCTAATTTTAATAAAAACATTTAATTATACGTTATTTTTACAGAACATTTAATTACGCGCTTTCACAAACTATAGTAATGGATTGTTGGATTTCTCTTCTTTTGAAAACTGAATTTTCACACATGAAACCATAATAATGAATTTGTATCCACTGTTTTTCATGATTTAAAAATCAAAACTCACTAGGAATTACAGGAAATTTTAACTGTGTCAAACTACATATACACAACTTATCAAGAAATAAGTGGTACGTTAAGTAAAAAAACATTTTTTTCTGTTCTCTTTGTAAAGAGATCAGTAGATCACTTTGAAAGATCATCAAAATCAGTCATCAAATCAAGACAGCCCTGACGACAGTCCAGAGAGTTACTATGCAAGGGTGAGAATGGTTGTCTGGAAGAAACAGAATCTAAATCATCGAAATCAATCTTCTTCCTCATTGGGCTACTTGTTTTGGGACTTGACTTTCTCTTGCTTGACTGTAAATAATTCAAATCAATTACTTGGTAAATGCTGATGAGTGTCCTAAACTAAAGGAGAGAACTCAAATGAAAGGAAACAGAACAGTCAATGGGAATTCAACATGCCCTGATGATTCTCACCTTGGCAGATGCACTATGGGAAAGTTTCATCATTAACCTTTTGTTCTCCTTTTCCAATTTGCTATTTTCAACAAACAGTAGTTTTCCCTATGGTTTTTTTTTTTTTACCAAGACAAGTCAGTCATTGCATTATAATCCAAAAACTGGAAAAATTCTACAATACAAGGGTCAACAATCCTCACCTCCTCTTCAGCTCGGTCAAGGTTAATCCTTAGATGCTCTTTATCCTTTTCTAGAGACATCACTTCAGCGACAAGAGATAAAATTCTCTGAGTTGATTGTCTCAATCTAAAAAATCCAATGATAAATCAAGCTTTTAACATGTAAATGACACAAGAGTTGAATACTTGCTGAAGGAGTATTTGCATAAAGAATAATCAATAACGTAACAAAAAGGAAACTTGAAAAGAAAATAGGAGGAACAAAGTGCACTCACCCGCTCCACATTGACAGCAACTTTTTACAATGCTCATTTTCATTATTTGCAACCAAGAACTCATATGTAGAAGAGTCATCTTTAGTAGTAACAGTTGCTAGAAGGGAGTCAAGCAAACTCTCCTCCTCCAGCATGCATGTAGAAGAAGAATCAACCTTAGTAAAACAATAAGAATATCAGCAGCTAACATTCATGACCAAGGGATTATAGCTTATGAAAGCCACCCACCCATATTTCAAGATTAAAGAGTAGAATATAAAAATATAAACAAGAGTATTCATATTCTAGTTGTAATAGTCCAAGTTGGTTTCTTTCCTTAGCTTAGCAGTACCACAATTTGGTAGTTATATGCAAGATGTATAAATAACTTCAATGTTCTGTGAATGGAAATAAAAATTAGATTATGAAGCCATGTTAGATGAAATGCATTGCAGATTAAATAAATAAAAAATCCAGAGATTAAAATACTTTCCTATTGCATAACAAGCTGAGTAAATGTGTTTTCCTATTGAAATGTGTTTTCCAAATCCAAATTCAAATGAGAATAAGCATGTGTTTTACTCAAGAATGGTGGGAAACAACTTTCCTATTGCATAACAAGCTGAGTAAATGTACTGCAAAATCTATCACTTGCTTGTTTTGCATATTAGAGATCAATCAACTAAGCTCTCAAAAAGTTCACATAGAGCTAACGTGGTGGTTAAAGATGGGTGATTTTGCAAGGTTTAGGAGAGAAACTGGAACAAATGGTGGAATTGCAATTTATCTTATCTTGAGCACACAATGTCATCATCACCTAGAGCAAACGTTATGGTCCATGGGTGTGTCTAGTGATGTAGAAATAAGACGTGGTGTGATAACCACGGCACACTAAACAACATAGTTAGACGGGGTTGTTAACAAGGTACGAAGGGGTTTTTAGAGAGTCCTCAATGCTGCCTCTAGGGAGAGGGAGGGATCATGCTATCACGTTGTTGGAAGAGCAAGGTCTAGTATATGCTATCAAGTTGTATGAATTTCTAGTAATGTTATTCCGCCTCTTGAATGCACCTTCTAAGTTTCAAAAATCTGTCTTTCGACAACATTTTCGTGTAGTCAAAATTGGAGTCCACACATGGCCCACTTAGAGAAGAGGTCCTAATTGTTTTGCAACATCACAATTTCGTGGATAATGAAAAGAAGTGCCACTGTGCGCAAACAACTGTGGAACACTTGGGTCATTTAATTTCAGCAAAAAGAGTGGTTGTGGACCAAGCAAAGTAGTGTTCTTGGGTCTCTCAGATTATTATAGGAAGTTCAACTACAACTACAGCAAGAAAGAGTGGAATACTTAGCTAATGAAAAGAAGTGCCACTTTGCACAAACAACTGTGGAATGCTTGGGTCATTTAATTTCAGCAGAAAGAGTGGATGTGGACCAAGCAAAGTAGTGAGTGTTACTTGTTCTTGGGTCTCTCAGTAATATAGGAAGTTCAACTGCAACTACGGCAAGATGCCCATTGACGAAGTTGATAGAGAAAGACGCTTTACAATGCTCATTTTGAGGAGCTGAAGTGCAAGCTTACCAGTGCTTCGATACTTACGCTGCCAAATCCCAACCGAGTTCCTAATTGAATGTGATTTTTCAGGAGGAGGGATATGAGCTATTCTCATGCAAGATAGGAGGCCTAATGCATACTTTAGCAAGATGTTGGGGAGAAGGAACTTAGCCAAATCTGCTTACAAAAAAATTGATGGCCCTATCTATTAGGAAGACGCTTTGTGATGTCTACGGACTAGAAAATCCTTAAACAGAGGATGTAACAATGGAGCAACAAAAATCAGTTGCCAAACTACTACTTGGCTATCATTTTGAGATACACTACAAACCGATAAAAGAGATCAGAGGGGCTGATGTGCTCTCTGTTGTGGGAGAGGGTGGAATTTTTTTTAGAGTTTGGTCTCTTACTCGGTATGAGAAGATCAGAAACAATAGTGAGGAAATTCATAGTGATGAAAAATTAGGAACAATCATTGCAGCCTTGCAGAAAACAAGGGGTTTGCACTATGAGGGGCGGATGGTGGTGTCTAGTAAGTTCACATTCCTATCGACCCACTTAGGGGAATTTCACACCACACCTCAAAGTGGACATTCAAAATTCTAGCAGACCTACAGGAGGTTGGCAGCAAACATTTAATTTGGTTGGGAATGAAAAATACAGTCAAAGATTTCATAAAGGCGTGTCGTTTTTGTCAAAGACAGAAGGACTTGATTGTGTCACCAGGGGGATTGTTACAGCCATTACCCAGATAAAAATGGATGAGGCTATCTTAGTAGTGGTGGATAGATTGTCCAAGTACTCCCATTTTATCCCTCTTAAACAACCATACTCACTTGAGTCTCATGGGTTCATTGGGCTGACTGAATATTGTTTCAATACGACAATTCATGCTTCCACAAGGAAAACTCTTTTTGAGACAGTAAATGGATGCAAACCACCGGCGGTAACACAGTGAACATGATATGAAACAAGTGTAGAAGTAACGCAGTGGGAGTTACTAGACCTTGATGAAACTATCAAACAATTACATGTGCATTTACAGCATGCACAGGAACACATTAAAGTGAGGGAGTGGGATTTTGCCAAGTTATGGAGACATAATCAATAATCTGTAGCAGCCAAAATCATTGCCAAACAGTGGCGAACCTGGCAAGCGATAACACAAATATTAAGTGTCGGCTCATCACACTGTGCAGAACTGAGGGGACAACTTCTTGCAGATTAGTTGAATGGAACGGGAAAACGGAAGAAGAAGCTACATGGAAAGATGCTATTACCATCAAGAGTCCGTTACCAAAGTTTAGCGTTGTGGACAAGGCTTTGGTTTTAGGACCAATCATAAGGAATGTGGGTTGAGTAAACAATTGGCCAATTAAGAGACTAGCAGGCCAAGGCAGTAGATGGTGTATTCCAGAAAATAGAAGAGAGGAGAGCGCCTAGGATATCATGAGCTGTAGGCTGAGGGGATGCAAAGGAAAGAAAGGCTGTAACTATTTCCTAGATATGGGGAGTTGGAGGTTGTCAGGCTAAGGAATCATTCCTGAATGTAGCAAATTAGTTATGAGCACACAGCAGTAGCTTCCTATAGGAGCCTTGATCTGTGGCAGATTTAGATGTTTCCCTCTCTGTAATTTCTTCACAAATCAATCAATAATATACAACAACCTCATTTTTATTCATTCCTTTCACCTCATATCCCAAATAAGGTAAGGTTTTATCATAACCAATTTCCCTTAAAACCCTTTCCCAAACAGCATTTTTATCCTAAAATACTAACAAAAATGAATTAAAAAGTTCTAAATGAGTAACTCTAACTGCATCTCACATAAAAAGAAAGTTCTCATGTCTCTAACATTTAATGTATGCTTTAAACAACCACATTCACCAATGACTTCATGAAATCAAAACCATAAAACCATTTAAAAACCTTCAAATCAATCCAATTAGTTACCTAAATTAAACATATCATAATAAGCACTTCAAAACAGATAAGAATCAAAGAAAACAAAAAGATTCATACCGATTCATTCTCTTCCTGGCACTCTTTTATCTTCATCTGATACACGATTATATCACGTTCCAACTCTTCAATTCGCAAATAAGCCTCCCTCCCTCGCTCCTCGGCTTCATTCTGAAACTCAATCAACGCTTCCCTATCATTCTCATACAGCACAAACTCCTTCTCCAATTTTAGACAATACTCCACAAGATTCTCACACTCCACCGCCAATTTCTGATTCTCCTCCACAAATTTCTTAATCGCCACAGCACTCAAACACGCTTCATACTATTCATATTCAAAAATCAAAAAGAAATTGAAAATCAAATGACAGTAACTAATCATCGAAGGAAAAAAAAGGAAGAATCGAAAAGGAACCTTGGTTTGTTCGATGAGTTCGTCTTTTTCTTTCAATTTATCAAGGAGCGACGCATTCTGATGGCGGAGAAACTGATCTGAGTCTTTGAGTGCGCGAAGCATGATGTCGAGGGTTTGGGGAGAGATGGGAAGACCTAGAGAGTGGTCGATGCATTGTTTGATGAAATCGTCGATTTCAGGAGGAAGAGACATTGTGTTGTTGTTGATGATGAAAATCAGTGGTTACTGGAAAACACTAAACGCGGAAACTGAGAAAGTGAAATGAAATGTAAAAACTTTCAAATTGACAAATTGGAGGAGCCGTTGGTTATTTTTAAAAATGGTATAATATTTAACGGTTACATATACTTGCTAGATATTTAATTTTATGTTATAATTAATAAGAAACTAAATTTATATTAAAAATAATATAATATTTAATATATATTATCGAAGTCTCTTGTTTGTGTACATACGCATTGAAGTCTCTTGTTCACGTGTTTGAGCAATCAGAAGTCTCTTGTGTGTTTGAGCAGTCCTTACTTGTGTACTTGGACAGTGAAAGTCTCTTGCTTGTGTGGTTGCGCAACTTGTAATTAGATTTGATTATAATGGAAATCTCTTGAAAGTATAAGGGGACTAGACTACTCTTGATTTGTAGGAGGAACCAGGATAATTGCTAGTGTATTTTCTTGCTCTCTTCTTTATATATGTTCGACTTTTTCGCTGATATCACCATCAGAATCTAACTCATATTTTGTTATTGTGACCAGAATCTAATAAGAGATTTAAAGAGAAAAATGAAAAAAAATTAACACAATTCAATCCATCTTCTTGTATTTTTCTCACCTTCAGTTGACATCAGAGCACAGTCTATGCATCAACACGTAATAGTGGTACAAAAAAGATCATGAAAGAAAAACAACATGGTTGATCCTGAAGTTGTTAACAACGATGATCCAAGTACATCTCGAGAAGAACAATTATATTTCCAAACCTCTAACATTCAGTAGAAATTCTACTGAGTTTGAGTGATGGAAAAGCAAAATGTATACTCATATCATAAGTCTTTATAATGATTTATGGGATATTCTTGAAGATGGAATTGATTTTGTAGTTGAGTCTCACACCTAAGGATGACAAAGAGGGCGGCCCGCCCCATTTAGGCCCGTCCCGTTTAAGTCCGTCCAAAAGTGAGGCGGGACGGGGTGGGCCAACCTAGGGATCCAAGCTCAAAAGTCAAGTCCGCCCCGTTTACTAACGAGTTGGCGGGCCGGTCCGCCAGTTTTTAATTTTTTTAATTTTATAATTTAATTTAATACATAATTTAGAAAAAATTTAATTATTATCAAAGAGGTCGATAAATAAATTTTTTTAACAACGCATCATAGAACTTCAAGATGTCTTAAGTCCAAACAATTCAAAAAATTTAATAAATAAAGACCAATTACAACAAAAAAATATAAAAAATAAACTCAAGCACAATAAAAAATATCAAAATAAAGAAACAATACATATCATCCTAATCCTATTTTAAAACTAACTACTAAAAGAATTCAATTTAGAATTTACACAAAACCAACAATGATAACAATAACATTGCATAAAACATCAGTGCATAAAATAGTAATGCGTACTGAACTTTCTCACTGTTTGAATTATATAGACTCTTATATTGATCGATTCTTTAATAGTTAAATCCTAAATTTGTCACACATATACACTAATCAAATCCTTCTCTTTCATAAAATCAACATCGATTTCTAAATAAAACATCTGAGTTAATATATTGAAACTTAATAATTATGCATGTCATACATTTGTTCTTTTATTTCAATCAACGCATGTATTAGAAAGTTATAAAAAGAACGTTACAATTATAATTCAATTTGCATGTATAATAATTTATAATACAATCCTAAGAGATAAGTGTTGCTTTTATAATTAAAATTGTTTTAATTCTTAATAAAAAAAGTAGAAGTTTTAACAAAAAGCCCGCGGAGAAAATCCGCCCCACTTTTTTAAGCGGGTTAGGCGGGGCGGGCTAGCTTAAGGTACCGAGCCGAAAACCTCAGTCCAGCCCACCAAAAATGGCGGGTCAAACGGGCCAACCCGGCGGACCCAACCCGTTTTGCCACCCCTACTCACACCTGCTCATAAAAAATATATAAAAAGCACCACAAAGTTAAGGGAATCTTGATAGATGCTCTACCTTATTCTGAGTATCTCAAGATTCTTGATAAATCTACTGTCAAAACTGTGATCGGTGGATCTGGAACTGACTGTTTAACGCTGGTTCGCGAAATGTCGCGGAAGCAAGAGTCGCCACCGTCTTTTATTTTCTCCAAATGGAAAGGACAAAAGCACAGAAAAATTCCTTATAGAGATTGCTCTCGGTTCGGGAGGTAGATTTATAGAAAGGGAAGGTGTTAGCACCCTTTCTATCCATGGTTATCCATGGGCTCTTAGATACTTGCTCATTTGTGTTTTCAAAATTGTTTGTTTGCTTTTCAACTGTGGGTTTTAAAAAGTTTCTTTGAAAATTCCAGTTCGACTCTTGTATCAGTCCTCAAGAGTGTTTGAAAAATTGCTTTTGAAAGCTTTTTGAAAGGTGTCGGTGTGAAAAGTATTTTTGATTTGTTTTGAAATTTAGAGCAAGTATTCAGAGTCGTCTACCTACCCTAAGGAATTCGTCTGTGTAAATGTCCTTAAAGTAGTGCCATCCCACCATTGAGAGGTAGGTAGAACCACCGTTGGAGGTGTTTGGGTCAATTCGAGGTTCGGGACATGGTGATCACCGGAGCAATGGGAAGACACCTTAGAAGCTACCCTCATGCCAGGTTCCCGGATCATGAGGACTTACTAAGACATCCTCTACTCGACGATCACCTTTCGAGAGGCAAGGCAACAGTGTGGCGTACCCTAGGGGTGGTGTGTGAATTGTGTGTCATGTTCATTTATTTTGTCTTGTTCATGTCATGGGTGATCTACGCTTTTGTTTTTATTTTATCATTCATTCTTGCATGCAATTATTAGCAGTTAAAAAGTTACGAGAAATATAAAGTTCCTAAACTATTACAAAGGCGCGGGTCCACATCGCCAAATTTAATCTAGGACCCGATTTGACATAAAATAAAGATGCGAGAAATATAAATATCGAATTTACACGGCTTTGGGAGAATTACATAGAAAATTATAAGAAATAAAATGTGCGAAACAAATTAATAATCGAAAGCGAAGGCGTTGGACCCTTTTTAAATGAAATTAAATTATTATGACCAAATTAATTAAATTAAAGAAAAAAGAAAATATTTTTTAGGGTTTTTTGTATTTATGAATTTTTTAATGAGAACTAAATGAAATAAATTAATTAACCCTAATTCTAGTTATTTTTAATTTATTAAGAAAAGCATTAAAATTAAACCTAAAATTAAACCTAATTAATTAATTACAAGTATTCACAAGAAAATATAATTAATTATTAATATGGTGAAAAAAGAAAAGAAAAAGATAAAAATTGATTAAAACCCTAATTCTACAAATTTTAAGCTTATTAAGAAAAATGCCCAAATTAATCCTAGAATTGAAAACTAAATTAATTAATGATTTTTATTTACAAAAATACTAAAATAAAATATATTTAGATTTTTATAACTTTCTGATTTTTTGTTATTTTTATGTTTTTATGAAAATAAATTAGTTTAAAGAATTAAAGAGAAATTAATTAAAACAAATAAAATAGAAAAATATAAAAAGGAATAAAAGAAGCAAACCATGGGGGGTTCTGTCCCCAATTGGAGGTTAAATTCAACATTTTTGGCCCAATAGCCCTTGGCCTTGTTGACTTTCATGGAAGCGTGTGCACATGTTGACTGATGCCTAGGATGTTCTTCAAATCTCCACCTTTAGATTGCCTCCAGTGGCCATGTGGCACACCTGGATTAGGGGCGTATGATGGTCTTCAGGGAAGAAACTGCACAGGATGATGTTAGGAAAAATATTATTGAAAGGGAGGGGGACCTGGGGTTCGAACCCAGGTCCCAGAGGTTACCAATGCTACGCTTGACCAGTGGAGCTATGAACGCGTTTTGAATATATAATAACAAATAAATATCATAAGATAAAACAAGCGTTAGTGGCAGATTTTAGCGCGAAATTCAAACGAGCCAACCATGCCTTGCCACCTAGTCTTCTTCTTCCTCGTTTGCCTTTTACCTGAAACATAAAAAGAATTAGCGGGGGTTTTAAACCCCCCCCCCCAAAAAATATGCCCTTTTCAAGAATAGCGATTAGGCCATCTTGCTTCATAAATTATGCGCGATAGGGTAGTTATATTCGTCCAAGCTTCCTGATTTTAACCATGGCACTGAGAAGTCTTAATTTTACAGTATATGAAAGTACCCAATTTGAAACTTGAGGAACCCTAGCATGCTTCAATGGTGAAATCGCGTACGATGCTTAAAAACTCAATTAAAACATGTGGTTAGCTTTAGAATGATCCAAATAGCACAAATCAAATATTAAAAACTGCAAAAGACGCATGAATCATGATGCAAGAATATGGAAAAAATCCTGTACAGGACACGATCGTTCTACCATTTCTTTGCGTTAGAATGGATGGTTTTGATCTGAAAACCTTCCTTGAAGTCTCAGGAAGGCAATGGAATGATTATTTGATCTTGAAAAGCCTTAGAATCGTGATTTCAGTTTTGAAATTTTAGCCAAAAAATGCAAACTTGTTTATGGTGTTTCTGCGCAGCTTTGAGGTCATCACCACTAGGGTTTTCATCCTGCTTATGTATGGAATGATTAGGGTTGAAAATTGGATCCAAAAACCCTTTGCATTGATGTACAAGATATTTGATTTTCATGGCATAATCTTTCAAATCTTTTCATGCATATTTGATACCAATCATGTCCAATCAAATTGATTCTTTCCCTATCTGATCATGCACGAAATCTTGAGTGTATTTCATGCATAAAAAGATTTAAAAAGCTTCCTTTGGTATTTTCCACATATTTTAATTAATTAAATGAATTATTAGCAATTAAAAATTCAAATAAATAAATAAAAATGATGAATAACTTCCCTTTGGGCCAAATGGTCGTGCACATGCTTTGGATGATGAATCTTGGAAGAAAAAGAGGCCCATTAGCAATTTTAAGACATTTGAAGCAAAGTTGACTTTTCAAAATATCCAAAAATTTCCCAA